TTTTCATTTCTTGCATGCATCCCTACAGTCTAACTAATCTTTCACCTGTTGGGATTATCTTTTTCTTTTTATGTTTCTTAATGTTAATGTGTTTTGTGTGTTTTTTTGCTCTCTGTGTGTTTATCCTATAATTATTATTGCTACTCCATTGTGTGTGTGTTATTGGGGACTCTCTCTCTATGTGTGTGCTTGGGCTTGCACAGTGATGATGAACTGCTTTTTGGAGTGAAAGGAAAAAGGAAATAATAATATCAGATGAATTTATATTTATAATTGCTTATTAGTTTATGTATACCGAGAGTTCTGGGGTGATTGTGTGTTTGATGGTGCTTTGGTTCTTCTCTTAATTTTTATGTTTTTGTTTTGATTTTGCATTGTACGTTGTGCCCCTTAATTTGATTTTTTATTATTTGTGTTGGTGTTGTTGTTGTTCTTTGAGTTTTATATGTTTTTATTCTCTTTCACTTTTTTTTTTTTGCATGTCTTTGTTTCTCTATTCTATCGGTATTGTTTTTCTTTTTCATCTCATTTTTTCTTGGATTGTTGAGATCAAAACAATAAGAAAAACCATTACGCTTATGATGCTGCGTTGTGTGTTTTGTTTTTTGTCTTTGCTTCTCAGCGCTGCCTTTTTATGTGTGTCGGCGAATACCACTGGAGGTGGTGGTATTCCTCCACCTCCACCTCCACCTCCACCTCCACCTCCACCTCCACCTCCACCTCCACCTGGTGGTCCTTGTCCTGATGGCAAGACTGGTAAAGAGTGTACTACTAGCGGTATTGAACCTGAAGATCATCGGCTTAAGGATTGCAAGGACCGTTCTGAGACGGATAGTTGCACAACTATTGATCGTGAGACTGAAGGAAATTGCCGTGATGTACCAGGTGATACTTCTTGTCCACGGGAAGAACAAAGGGAAGGTCCGAATACAACTCTAATCGAAAACACTGAGGCAAATAGTGTAAAGGGCGATAGTCGCACTGACGGTCCTTCCGGTGAAAAAGGTGACGGAGGTGTTCGTCCTGTTACACCTCCTGGGTCTTCTGCAGCTACTCCTGCACCACCTACTGCTAAGGGCCGCGGTGTTGATCCAACAGGTAGAACTAATGCTGAGCGAGGAGTCGTTGGTGCCACTGGTGAGCAAGTGAATCTGGAACAACCAGGTGAAAGAGGTTCTGAAGGAGGTGCTGCTGCTGAGAGTGCTAATCTCCTAGGAAGTACACGCGAAAATGGAAGCAGTGAAAACACTGCATCAGGTGAAAATGCAGGTAAACCGGAAGGAGCAGAAGCACAACCTTCTAGTTCTTCCAACAATACAAACATAGAGAGTATCGGTGATAATAATGCAAACACTGGGAGTGGCAGTAAACCTGCAGGAGGTGGTTCACCAGCTAACCCAGAAAGTGAAGCTGGAAATACAGATACCCCAAGTACCACCACCACCACCACAACAACAACAACAACAACAACAACACTTCCTCCTGAGCCTGTAAACAACAAGAAGGGTGATGCAGACAGCAGCAGCAGTATCAGCAGTTCTGTGTGGGTGCGTGTACCACTACTGATTGTGGTTACACTGGCCTGTATTCTTCTTGTGTGCTGATTGTAATGGTGGTGATGGTGTGACTCAGGTCATCCTTTGTTTTCTTTTTGCATGCATCCACACTACAGTCTAACTCATCTTCCACCTGTTAGGAGTTTCATTCTTTTTTTGTTTCTTAATGTTAATGTGTTTTGTGTGTTTTTTGCTCTCTGTGTGTATCATGTAAGGCTTGCTTTGCATTATGTGGTACGTTGTTGTGCGCTTTGTCCAGTGAAATGATAATTATTAATGTCAGACATACATATATATTTATAATTTCTTGTACATGACCATTGAAAATACACTTCTCTAATCCACTATACGCTGGCACATTTGGTCGTTTGTTTTAATTTCATTTTTTTTTTGTTTGGCTTGGTCATCTTCTTAAGTGGCCCTTTGGTGGACACTATATTGCTGATTTTGGTGTTGTTATGTTGTCTTTATTTCTTTTTTATTTTGTTTTTTCCGTCTTCTTTTTTGTTTTTATTCTCTGTGTTTCTATAATGCTCTTATTCTTTCTCTTATTTGTTTCTTTTTCCCTTTTTGTATTTTGATAACAGTTAAAGATACACGAAGTTCTTGACAAAAAGATGTTTCTGCGATCGTTTTTTTGTTTTAGTGTTTTCTTGCTAAGCGTGGTTTGTGTGGTTGCTGCTGAGGCACCAAAAGCAGCTGAAGAGAAAGTAGCTAGTCCTGTTGAAGAACCTGGTAAAAATGGTGAGAACGGTGGTCCTAAAGGTTCTGAAAATGATTCTGCTGAACATGCTGCTGGTGAAGCTGCTTGTCCTCCTGGCTCTAGTGGCGATAAGTGTACTCATCCTCCAACTCCTGGGCAACAACCTGGACTAACTACACCAGAAGAGCCTGCTGCTCCCTCTGCTTCGGCTCCCCATGGTACTGTTGATGAAGCAGGTGATGTTAAGGATAATACTTCATCCTCTGATTCTCCTTCTACATCTGATAAAGCTGCCGAGGGGAGTGGAGTTACCTCTCCTGCTCACTCACAGACTGGAGACAGTGTATCAAGTGGAAGTGAAGCAACACAATCATCTTCTTCCAGCGGTTTAGGCACAGAGGGTGCCGGTGGAGATAACACTGGAACGACTGAGAATGGAAGTACATCCGCAGAAGGTGAGTCACCAAGCACCCAAGAAGGTGATATGGGTAATACAGAAACCACCACCACCACCACCACTACCACAACAACAACAACAACACTTCCTCCTGAACTCTCAAACAACAAGAAGGGTGATGCAGACAGCAGCAGCAGTATCAGCAGTTCTCTGTGGGTGCGTGTACCACTACTGATTGTGGTTACACTGGCCTGTATTCTTGTGTGCTGATTGTGGTGGTATGGTGTTGTGTGGTGTGACTCCGGTCAGCCTTTGTTTTCTTTTCTTTTTTTTTCTTGCATGCATCTCTACAGTCTAACTAATCTTTCACCTGTTGGGATTTTCTTCTTTTTTTGTTTCTTAACGTTAATGTGTTTTGTGTGTTTTTACTCTCTATGTTTATCCTATAATAATTATTATTGCTACTCCATTGTGTGTGTGTGTGTGTGTTCTTGGAGACTCTCTCTGTTTGTGTGCCTGGGCTTGCACTGTGATGATGATAATGAACTGTTTTTTGCAGTGAAAAGAAAAGAAATAATAATAATAGATGAATTTATATTTATAATTGCGTATATATACACACATATAGACTTACACCCATTGTTGTTGTATTGCTGTGTTTATTGGGTAAGTTGGGCTAATAGGTAATAACTGTTTTTCT